CTGCAGGGCTGGGGGCTGGGTACCAGCTGATGCCAGAGAAGCACACGGTGAGCCCTGCTTCATAGAAGCTGTTTCTCCCATCCCAGAAGAAAGCAGGGCTGACTGACCTAGACATTTGGCAAAAGTGTTTCCAGTTTACCAACGCCTAAGTGTGATCACTACTTCTCTGCTTTCTTCTAAGTGCTACAACTTGAAGCAGAGAAGGAGAGTCCAGGAGTCATGTTTTGATTCTATGTAGCCACGTGTCCTTGGGTAAGTCCCTCCACTCAGTGTTCCAAAATCTGCAAAATGAAGTTGGACTAGACATTAATTCTCTAGCTACAATTTATGCCCTATATGCTTCTGAACTATTATCAGAAAACATCGCAGAGAGATAGAGTAAAGCATGAATAATTTTTTTTAATTTTAATTTTTTTAATGTTTACTTTTCAGAGAAAGAGACACAGAGCGTGAGTGGCAGAGGGGCAGAGAGAGAGAGACACAGAATCGGAAGCAGGCTCCAGGCTCTGATCTGTCAGCGCAGAGCCTGGCGCAGGGTTCGAACCCACAGGCCGTGAGATCATGACCTGAGCTGAAGTTGGACACTTAACCAACTGAGCCACCCAGGAGCCCCTAGATTAAAGCATGTATAAAGTGAGGCAGATATACTTAGACTGGGACCTAGAAGTAAGTTATTTACTTCAATACTATATTAAATTGCAGCTCTGAATTTGCAGGCAGCTGAAAAATACAGAATTCTTACTATCTGAAAGAAGAATAGCATTTCTTAAGGTATTTATTTGGCATCATGTTGGAAGAGGTCATCAAAAAGACATGACCTCTGGATGACCCACAAGCTGGCCCCAGGGCAACCCAAAGTTCCTCATCACCGCTTGCCCTTGAAATATACATTCCACCCACCATTCCCACAGCGGGAGCCACTTGAAGGACATAACCTGGAGAGAGTAAAGTGTTGCTGAGTCCATGTTGACTTTGTATGTGAACGAATCCAGGTATGGCCTATATATAAACTTTTAAGATTCTGGCGGGCATATGCAGAGATATACTCATCTTGAGGTGCCCTAAACCAACCTGGCATGTAAGTTCCCTTGCTTGTTTAACCTGCCACATACCCATTTGGATTGGTCTGCTCTTTGTGTGGTCTCTCTGTCTCTCCTCGCCCTCTTTGTCCTTGCAGGAGGGGGGAACAGCACAGATTACACTGCAGAAAGCTACATAGTGTGCGAATCAACATCTTTATTAAACATTTTATTTTTTATTGCAAAAGAAGCACTAACACAATTAAAAAAAAATAATGCAAAAATTTGCTTTCAATCCAACTACTTCAATAAATGTAAATATTTTCCTTCTGGTCCTTACCAATGTAAAAATATTCATATCATCGTATCTAGAGAAAATCTTTGTTTTTTGCTTTTGCTTAAAGCAAAAGGAAGGAAGGTCCATCCTTCCAGGCTGCCACAGTGCTTATGCATGTTATTTTAAATGTCTGCACAATAACACTTTGCTAGACTTCGTAATTCCTTGGCTGTTAGGTGTTCTGTTGATTTTTGGTTTTACGTTACCACCCAGAATAAGCAATTAATATTGCAGTCTCTTCTTTAGAATAATTTTCCTTAGATGAATTCCCAGGAATGAGATCAGGTAAAAAAGATGGACATAGTTTTTTTCTAAGCCTTGACTCTTTGCTTTCTTTAGAAATTGTGGTAGTTTGCCTCTCTCGTGTATTAGCACTTAAGTTTCAATGGAGCGTGAGGGAAAAATGATCTTTTTCAGTTATAAATGGCTTTGGATAGGTCTGTTACAAGTGGAAACCTTTGAATTTGTCTGGATTTGTTTTGTTTTAATATGTTTTTGGTATTTCAATATATACAGTCTATTTGTGCAGGGTTCAAAGAGCGTATCTATTGAACTGGGGATAAACATTTCAGGGCAGCGGGTGGTAAGGAGATGAGTGGGTTGCTCCTATGTGTGGGGCTCCCATACTGGGGCGGTTGTTGAGGAAGGTACATTCATTGTCCTTGCAAAGATGTCCCCATGACTGGAGCAGAGCCAGAAGCGTTCTGGATCGAGGCGGCTGGGCTCCATTTTCCACTACTCAAGCCTTAAGCATTGAACTGGAGCTGAGTTTCCTTCTTTCCTGGATCTCAAACAGCTCCCTCTCAAAACTGCTCGGATTCTCTTCGCCCAGTGTTTCCAGAGAAGACAGCCTGAGGGAGAGGAAGTGGTGCTAATTAAGTCCTCCCCCTGTTTTCCAGGCACAGGAGCCTTCTGCAGATGTCTGTTGTTAGGCAGTGTTTGCAAGAGTGTGGCAAATACAGAAGCAAGCTTGCCTTCCCCAAAGGCACAAACCTTCTTCACAGGTCACAGGCAACTCTAGAAACACACTCTTCCAACAGCCCCTGTGATAGAGATGGCAGACCTTCCGAGGAGGCCAAAGTGCCTCACTGATCCTTCGCTGCACTCGCTCTCTTGCACGCGCATGCGCGCGCACACGTGCATGCGCACAATTCCTCCTGCTTCTTCAGTTGTGCCTTGTACTTCTTAGCGCCCGGTCTCTGCCTTTTACCTTTCTAATTTAAAAACATTACTGAAGACTCCGTGAAGCCTTCCTGCTCTAACCCAGCTTGCCTCACAGTGGGCCTGCTGGAATGGACTGGAAGCAGGATTGGGAGCCCTGGGTGGGCATCCAGGTGCTGCTATCCGAGTGTGCCTTTGGTGGTTCCACTAAATGCTGTGATCCCCAGAGAGAGGCAGGTAAAATCATCTTTCTAAGGTTACTGAGAGGCTCAGAGCGGGGGGGGGGGGGGGGGGGGGGACCTGGAATGTGGCCTGGGGAGGGCTTTTCTCTGGTGAGCCCCCTAACCAGCTTTATTTTCTCCTGCATCCAGACCCCTCAGGGTGACTGTATTTGTCCACATTTGCCAGGGACAATCCTGGTTTACTCCTATCCTTCTGACATAATTGTTAATAACACCCTTTTCATGCTCAGAAGTGTCCAGCTTTAGGCAACAAATTATGCACTCATACTATTTTTACCTCCCTTGAATACTGTAATTCCAATTTTATGAATGTAAACATGCTGGTGATAGGGGCTGTTTCTCACTTTCTGGTGTTTTATAAGCACAGAGGAAACCGAATTTGTCTGATTCGGAACACTGAGGCAGCTCTGAAAGTAGGATAGCATTCCCAGTCACGGTGAGGCTGGGCACAAAACCCCCCTTTCATGTAGCATGGACCGTGTGCTCATAGTAGGGGGTGACTATCTGGCTTCAGCTTGGAAGTGGTGACCTGGTGTAGGGATACTTTTTACTAGGCTAGCGTGTGCTTTCTATTTATTTTAATTTTGCTTTATATTTACAAAATAGAAATAAATGTGTTTTTATTAAGTCATATATAAGCATTGTAAGCATCTAGAAGTTTCTAAAGAAGGAAAATTGAAACCGCCTATCATCCAGAGATAACCATTACTAATATTCTATTTTACTTTTTAAAAGTTTATTTATTTTTGAGAGAGAGAGAGACAGAGCACAAGCAAGGGAGGGGCAGAGAGAGAGGGAAACAGAATCCAAAGCAGACTCAGGCTCTGAGCTGTCAGCACAGAGCCTCACGTGGGGCTTGAACTCATGAACTGTGAGATCATTACTTGAGCTAAAGTCGGATGCTTAACTGACTGAGCCACCCAGGTGCCCCCATTTTACTTTTTTTAGACTTATTCTAACCTGTCACACAATGCATGTGTACATATTGTTATGCCCAGAATTCGTGATCCCCAAAGACCACCAGGGAGCCGAGTCCGATGCAAAAGCAAAGAGCCTTTATTCGAGCTAGCTCGAGCTTAATCCCCTACCTCCACCAACGGACTCAGCGGTAAGATGCCGGGGAGAGAGAGCGAGTTTCAAAAGCACAAAGGTTTTATTGGGGTCTAGGGGCAGTTGGTGAGGTAACCACTCACTGGTGACCCTTCCTGATTGGCTGGGGAAGGGTCGGAGTCCTGTTACCCAGGTCGCGGGGCTTGTTTTGATTGGGAAGTTACTCAAGGGAAGGAGGTGTGGTCAAGGTGGAGGACACAGAACAAGATGGAGTCTGCTGGGGTAGGTCCGCCGTTTCCCATATATTCAACTCCAAGTGTCCTTCCTTCTTTCTTTTTATATATTTTTTGAATTATTTTAACCAATCTGACTAAAATTATTGATAATGTTTTATAGCTTACTGCTTTCCATTAAGAATATATTTTGGACATCTTACCATGATAAAAATATGCACTTACATTTTTAATGACTACATTATATTTCGCTTTATGGTATAACCTATTTAGCCAATTCCCTACTGACGGATCCTTAGTTTTACTCTATTCTCTTGGTATCAGATACAATGTTGTATGGGTGTCTAATGTTGCTATTACACACATTTTGCTATTAGACATAAAGTGGCATCTTTTTCTGCTATTGGACACATGTTGTGATGAACTACCTTCCATACTGATGTCTTTGGGCATTTGGCTAAATTATTTCCTTATATAAAATTTTATAATTACATTTTTTTTCAGTTAAAAAATATGCTCAATTCTAAGTGCTTTTGTGCCCTATTACTACCCAAGCAGCACACAAGGTGTGTTATCATTGCTTTTAACTGCTAAATAAGTACAGGGTTGGTAGGTTTTGAAGCAAAAATACTATGAAATCTTGAAGATAAATTGTTTGGTAATTATTCCATACTACTTTCTACATACTCAGCTTCCTGTCCTGGGGCAAAAGGTGGGAAAATGGACCTACTTGCAGCCTCCTTTTCTCTATCTGGAGGGCCTTGCTTCTCTGCCCTGGTAAATAGAATCTGTGTCATTGAATTACCTTCATTAGTGCCTTGGTCGGTTTCAGGAACATCATTTGCACACAATAGACTTTTTGCCTTAGCCTTGACGTAGGTGACTCCTCCCCTCACTGCCACCTCTCCCCCTTTCTTTTCTAATGAGAAGATTGTTTCTTCTTTTGTTTTAGGCAGAAAAAATGTCAAAGATTGGGAGTTTTGAAGGATTCCAGCCTGTGTCTCTGAAGCAAGAGGGAGATGACCAACCCTCTGAGACTGACCAACTGTCCACGGAGGAGGGGGACCCAGGCAAAGACCCAGAGCCAAGCCGTATTTCAAGGCAGCCAAGTGTGACTGAATCAACACTGTACCCCAATCCTTATCACCAACCTTATGTCTCACGGAAGTACTTCGTTACACGGGTAAATTTTTTGGTGCTCTGAAGTATTACATAAGACTTCTCTTACAGTATTCTAATATCTATGTATCTATGTATCTATGTATCTATCTATCTATCTATATCACAAGTTTTACCAGATATTTTCACATTTTTTATTTCATCTGATAGTCATAGAAACCATGGAGTAGGTATCCGTATCCCCATTTTACAGGTGAAGGTTCTGAATTTCAGAGAACTTAGGGGGTCTAGTTTTGATAACCAGGTAGTGTGGGAGAAAAGTGGGTCATCCAGTCTCTTTGGATGGATCTTTGGTTCCTCAGTCCTGTGTTCAGGTTAAATCTGACCTCCACAGATTAATGATCTATAGAGAGAAAACCCAAGCAGCTAAAATATAAAGCTGTGTGCCCAGAGTGGGTATTTGTTCCATGTTTGAAAAAGATGTGAGTGATGGAGTGGAAAGGCTTGCTGAGAACGAGTTGAACCTCAGGGTCTACAGGGGGATGATGATATTACTGTGTGGGAGCAGGCATTTTTAAATCCCAAACCTTTGGCTGCATTCTGGAGCTGAGCTCCTTTACTGAGCTCTGAGCGTGAGCAGGGAAGGGGCAGAGAGAGAGAGAGAGAGAGAGAAAGAAAGAGATAAATTCCAAGCAAGCTCCAGGCTCTGAGCTGTCAGCACAGGGCCTGACGCAGGTCTCAAACCCACAGACTACGAGATCATGACCTGAGCCTGTTGGACGCTTAACCAACTGAGCCACCCAGGCACTCCTAAAAAATGATATTTTGAACTTGTAGCATTTGGATCAAGGACATAGTGCTTCCTGGGTTTGAGTAGTTCTCTCTCTTGAACTCTCCTTCCTACTTATCAGTGTTCCTTCCCAGTCCTTCAATATTCTTGTTAACACAGTAGGTATTAGCTCACAGGCTAAAGCCAATTGGCAGCAAAATTGGAGATTATACACTGTGGCAACAGAGACCGTCTCATTTTTCAAGTGTACCTGGGACAAATCTTGAAAAAAAAATTCAGCTCAGTCTTACAAGTAAAGGGTGGCTAAGATGTGACTATTTATAAAGCTTTAACTAATGAATCCTGATTTGGTAGCTTTTAAAACATCTTTGGTTAAGATAAAATTTTAAAGTGACTCAGTGTGTGTGTGTGTGTGTGTGTGTGTGTGTGTGTGTGCGCACGTGTGTGCGCGCGTGCACATGTTTGAAGGTACGATATACCCATATCATCTGTATTCTGTGACTCTTATGTGTTAAGGTGCTATGGTAGGTGCTATACTATGTGTTTGTGTGATTTGCATATGTAAAGCATATGGTTTGTTTTCCAAAGTATGTGAACTTAATTGAATAAGCAGAATTAAGTTGTAAGGTAGTCTGTGAAGGAAATCAAAGCATCCCCTAAAGTTGTCTTATCTTTGGTAATGATGATGGATCAGTCACAGTTTGGTGAGAGAACCGTGAGTGGTATGGAGTAAGAGATTCATGATCAGAAGGTGATGCAGTTATGAGAGCTGTTTGGGAAGTCTCTGCAAACCTGTTGTCTTTGCAATCTAGTGATGGGCCTGAAGTTGCTATAGTCTAACCGATTCATAGTCATGAACTGGGAATAGGGAGTACGGGAAAACTGGAACCTGGATGGACAACTCAGAATTCCTGATGAGCAAGCAAAACCCACAAGGAAAAAATGGAATCTGTATCTGTCTCCAGCCGTGTCTAAACTTGGAGGTGTGAGTCACTTTTAGGAGAGGACTTGGTGCCTTTCTACACTGAGCTGCACACTTACCAGCACAGGGGAAGGAGGTGAGGGATGAAGTCTGACTGTCAGCAAAAGAAGTTATAGCTGTAAGTGCTGCCCCCTGGCATCAGATGAACCTGGAGGTCAGCAGCTGTGAATGTGAGTGCAGGTGGTCTGAAGTGATCTTCCACAGGGAAAAACTCCCTTCTGCCTTACAAATCTTATACTAACATCTCTTGTGGCCAACTCTAATTTGGAAACAGACATGAGAGGAAATTCTAGAAAATGTAGCTCTAGCTTAGCTAAATCAGCACAGTTTAAAGCCACCATGGAGGTTTTACTTATTTGTTTGATTGACTGATACTTTTATTTGTGTGTCTCTATGTAATTTATCAAGTGAAGTCCCCTGAAGTGACACTGTAAGGTAGGCAGGGGAGGACTCATCACTCTTGGTTTATTGTAAACATATTGAAGTTTCAGAGGAGTGAAGTTGATGCTGTTTTAGAATGATGGGCCGATAGCCAAGAAAGAATTCTTGAGATGCCTTAGGCGCACAAAGGTGGTTTTATTAAAGTATGCGGACAGAACCCATGGGCCGGAAGAGCTGCCCCAGGATTGTGGAGCAGAGACTGATTCTATCCTTGGGAGTTGGGGGAAGTAAAGTCAAGAGGAAGTTTCCAAAAGGATTTTCCTATGCTAAAGAAGACTTACTGGATCTTGGAGGACTAGTTATTGTCCAGCTAAGGTGGTTTCTCCCTCTAGGAAAGCATTAGCATTAAGACAGTGGGGAGTTCCTAGAGAAATGTTCTGCCTCAAGGCAGAGGTTCTGACTGCCTCAATATTTGTCAATGGGCTGAGGGTGGAAGTTTAATTTTATCTGCCATTTCCTTCTGCCTTTGCTTCCTTTGTCAAAGTGACCTGACTGAGCCACATAATATTAATTGGAATAGCTCTAGCTCAAATCTGTATCTTCTGTCTGTAAGTCTAGTGCTGTTCCTACTGTAATGTACAGTGGCATTCATGGCCCTTTTAGAAGTAAGTCAGTCAATGACTGCAGTCCGTGTGAAAAAGATCTCCTTCGGATATGTAGAAACAAACCCTACATTCTCAAGAACTTGGGAGGGAAAACTTCTAATCTTCTTAATTAATTTAAAGTAGACTTGAGGATTCTTTAAGGATGTGAGGGCTACATTCCCAAAGCACTCAGCTCTCCTTCAGATCAAGAGACAGAATATAGATTTTTTTTTTTTAGCACGTGAGTATGATGAATGTGCTGTGTGTGTGTGTGTGTGTGTGTGTGTGTGTGTGTGTGTGTGTATTTCCTCATTTGCAAAGTGTGGATAAAATATCAGTTTTACACAGAGGTTTAAATAGGCTGATTTTGTAAATATTCTTAGCACAGTGCATGACACATCTATTAACATTCCATAAGCAGCATCTCATTACTCTTATAAATGCTTTCTCCCTTTCTTGTTGATTTGACATTCTCACTTCTGTAATTGGTCACAGAGAATGACATTAAGATGCCCATGACCTCCCCATGACCTCCAGAGTGAGATATAAATGTCAATGTATAGTGTCTATAGCAGCAAAGAGGTTTGACCAAAGGAAAATAATTCATTTTCTCGGGGAATAATTCAATAAGACCCAGGCTCTGGGTCTGAATGATTCAGATCTATGAAAGATTTATCATAAAAGATCACTTCCGTAGCGCTGAAATGAGATCTATAGATGATCTGGTCCACTGATTCTCCATCTTTACTGTACAAACAAACGACCTTGAGATCTTGTAAAAGTGCTGGTCTGATTCAGGAGGCCTGGAATGAGACCTTAGATTCTGCATTTATATAGATTCTATGGCAAAAGTGATGCTCTCTGTCCACAGACACCTCTTGAACACCAAGGAGCTGGTCAACACTCTCATTCTCAGAAGTAACTAAGGCCCAGAGGAGGCTGTTCCTTGTCCATTGTCATAGCTATTGTCCAATGTCATGAGTACTGACTTGCCCAGGAGGCTAGTAGTAAGTGGTAAAGCGAGGCTTAGAACCAAAGTTTCAACTTCCTGATTCATAGTTCTATGATCCCATGCCCAGCAATTAAAAAGAAATAAACATATTACGGTGTAAGAATTTAAAGCATACATGTTGTAAATTCAGAAGAACTGTAAGTAAATGAGTTGAGGAAATCCTTGATCAAGCATGTTATTTTATTAAATGTTTTCAAATCATTTTGCAAGAGGTAGTTTATTGGAAAAAAATGTCGATAAGCAAAATAAAAGTCACCATAATTCACTACTCAATGTTAACCAAAGAAGTTTGAATGCGTGCTTATACATTTTGGTGCATATCCTGTCTTACTTTTTTCCTTACATGTGCAATTTGTTGCATAAAAATATTTCCTATGGCAGTAACTCTACATCCATAGCATCATTTTTAACAGTTCTAGAATATCCTACTGTGGAGATATACAACAATTTATATAACTTTTTCTGGATATTTAAGTTGTTTCCTATTTATACCTTATAAGCCAGAAAGGAAAATTACTCTTTGGCTTGCTGTGGCAGAATGACACTCAGTTTCTTAGGTGCCAGGAGTAGATACCCAATGCTATATAATAGGAAGGAGGATCAGTTATATGAGTTTCAAAGTGGATATGCAAAGATGTGACTGCTCTGGAAGTTTAAATTAATTCAGGACAAACAAGAGGCACTTTTTTTAGCACCATAACCTTATGCATTAGGCCAGACCTCTGAGTACCAGATCATAAAAGAAGTCAATCTGCTTCCTTAAACCTCTTCTGTTTTTTCATGGGGCATCTGGAATGTTGCTTCTTATCCACAGGCTTCCAGACTATTATTGATTTACTAAACCAAGCCCTTCCAACAAAGCAACATTCTTGCTCAGAGCCAGAAGGGGCCTGAGAGAATATCTAATCCAACCCCTAAAACACACAAAGGAGATGTGACTTCTCCAAAGTCAACCAGCAATTTAGGGGCCGTACCAGGACAAAGAGCTAGGGCTCCTGACACTTTTTACTACCCCTCCAGTGCCTTTGACCTTGGACAATGAATGAGAGGTCACAGTAATGAATGTTTGAAGCACTTGCTATCAGTCTGCTTGGACAATTTTTTCCTCCTGTTTTTGTTCATTTGCTATTATTGCTCAGACATGTCTAAAAAAGGCCTAGTGCCTTTTCTGAACAAAAGTACCACTCAAGGCTAATAACTCGAGGTATATTATGATAATCCCTTTAGTTGTGGAGACTGATATTCAAAAGCAACT